AAACATATGCAGATTTCTATGGACCAGATGAGTGGTGAGAATATGCTATTCAGGGCTCATATGTGTTCCATGTTTTGCATGTGTCACAGGGTATAAAACTGCATATTCTCAACAGCACTAATTACCTAACATTTAAGGCCACCCTTCTGCTTTCTACTGACTCTCAAGTCCATTTATTTACCTTCTTGTTCCAGTCACAATATTCTTAACCTTCTATTTCATAGCCTTAACATGTGAAGCCCACCATAATTCATTTTAGGGTTAGAAACAAAATAAAAAAATCTTTGATGCCTGATTGAATTGTTTGCACAGAGTGTCTCAATTGCATAATCAAATGCAATTGCAGCTGGCTACATAAACTGTTCTGGCCTGCATGCCTGTGCTAATATTACAACAGCAAAAATATTCTATAATATTGCAAATAGAAGCTGTTCACATGTAGGTGAAACAGGTTATAACAGTTTTCTTCAATAAGGCAAGGACACATGCCTCTTACATTCTTCCAACTATTCAAAGGAGAAAAATTCCTGAGATTAATTTACAAAGACTGGGATTTGTACAGCTCAGAAAAAGAAAGAAATCTCCCGGAATCAATTAAAATACCCTAGATACATCTATGTTTCCTCTTTTTAGGTGATTCATTTCAAATAAAGAGCTAATCCTTGATGAGCAAGAATGTAACAGAGCTCTCATTACTATCTCAAAAGAAACGCAACACAATTTGCTGACACTGTAACACTGCTTCTGTTTATGCAGTGGCAATAGCATATACAGGGAGTCAAAAAAATTTCAGATTCTTTTTATTAACATTCGTAATAGCTGAAGTAGAGTCAACAGGCTTGGGGAAAAAGCACAGTTGACCTCTCAAAGAAAAAGACAAAACAAACCCCAAATCCTTTGCTTATTGCCTGATCGTGAAAACTATGAAAAACTCTACAAGCTCCAAATAGTTATGATTTGCATGCCAATATAAAGTGAATTCAAACTTGGAAAAGAATTTAATTATTGGTCTGAGCTCTGCAATATTTAGAAACAATGTCATAGGAAATTTTATGGGGACACCCAGATTACTATTGCAATGGTAGGTAGATGGAAGGAAGCAGAATCCAAGCTATCTCTGTAGTCTTCGTTATAGCTAAAAATCAGAGATTTTTTTCTACTTGTGAATACAAGAAGAATAGTGTAACATATTTCAAAGACATTTGGTGAATCTGTATCATATATTTATAAAACAGAGTATCATTTCATACCTCTTAAATGCAACACCCAAGTTGCAAATTCTTTCTTTTTTTTGTTTGGTTGGATTTTTTTTTTTTTTGGTTAACCAGTTACCCCACACATGAGGCATTATCAAAACTAGGTATCAGATACTGGACTATGACTTCTCTGCACTGACTTCTTTCACTCATTTTACATGTTTAGATTGCAAATTCTTCAGGGTAAAGATTGTCTCTTTGGACACATGCTGCATACAGTGGAGCTACTATCTCATATCAAGCCCCATCTGTTATTGTCGTTTGTATTCCAAAACAGAGCTTGAAATGGTAATTACAAACAACATTAGTCAGCTTCCATATTTCTGCTAGAATCAGATACTAGGAAAGTAAAGCTTGAAACTCTGCCCTCACAATTCTGCAGCATGCACAGGAATCAATGACATTTTTGTATCTGAGAATCAGGATATGCTCTCTTTCAGCAACGTGTGTAGATATGTGTGTGAGTGTCCAAAATCCATTTTATAAGTGATTACAGCAAATCACATCCAATCACTATCCTTCCTTCTGTTCTACAAAAAGCAGCTCTTCTCCTGCCTCCTCTTTTCACTGGGAAAATGGCCAGGCCCGCTGGATGCACAGAGGTCTGTAGGAACGTGCCGTTTCGAATCGCAGCCAAAAGGGGCATGGCCAGGTTGGCACGTTAGCAAAAGGATGTGCAAAGCTGGGGAATCAGGGACTAGAAGCACCGAGGCAGAGTACATGCACCAAGCAGAGAGTTTTGGCTTGACACCGCAACAGCAGATGAAGCTCTGTCTTGGACTAAACCTCGGTTTCCATTTTCAAATCTTTAAGGGTGAGCCAAACACCTTCTGTCATGCATAATCATTCATTAATTGGTTTAGTGGTGGACTTGGTAATGTTAGGTTAATGGTTGGACTGGATGATCTTAAAGGTCTTTTCCAACCTAAACGATTCTATGATTCTACAATTTACTCAGGCTTACCCACTCATGTATTTACGGGTTCTAAAGCCATAAAAGGATTACAGAGGTCATCTAATGTGACCTCCCGGAAAACTTTCCATTTAAACTTTCAAGAGAGTTCAGAGGAAGGGGAAAGACCTCTTTATTTCAAATTCTCAATAAAAGAGGGACCACGCACTGTGTGGTAGATTGTTCCAAAGGCTAACTGATAAAAGGAGAGAGGAACAGGTTTCTTTGCTTCTAGTTTGAACTCACTTGGCTTCAACTTTCAAATACACACTTCTGATGTATTGAAAATCCTTTATCAAAGCTCTATTTTCCTAAGAGATAATTATGGACTTCTCACTCATTAACATTACCCTCCTTAAGCCTAGTAGGGTTATTTCTTTGATCTATGACTTTGGTGCATATTTTCCATTCTTTTGGACATAATAATTTAAAAACTCAGAAAAGCTTATGTCCTGGCTAAAAGATCTATCTGTTATTTGAAAGAAAACATTTTGAATCTGTGCAGGCTAAGAATGATCTCACATTCAGCCTTCTTCCTTATCCATAGAAGGTATGTTTGCATTTTAGCAAAACAAGAATAACATGATTGAGGAGCTGCATACTAAAAGTAAGAAAAGTGTAATTAAAAAATAAGCACAACATTTTCTGTGTTTTTTAATCATCATTATATTAATATTACAGTTAGAGCAGTTCTACCATCTTCTATGGAAAAAAAATCATCCCCTAAAGATATTCTTAATTCACCAAAATGTTGGATGAAGTGCAGTCTATAAAAAAAAATGTTTCAAAATTGGTAAAAAATTCAAAAGATGAATTCTCTGAATGTAGATGATAATTTTTATATTTATGCAAATATGTCTGGTGATTGAACATTACTTCAAAAGTTATCACATGTAAGTAATAATTTCAATTTAAGACTGTGTTACAACCCCCCCATTTTCTTCAATTCACCTTCCTCTTTCTGTGTGCGAAACATTGCTGTATTATTCATTATTCAATAATTCAATCACTGCCAGTTTTGTTCCCTGTTCACCTAATTTGGAAAGCACAAGCCAAGGCTTTGGCACCCTAGAGCTGGACGACCACAGGGAAAATACAGCAGCATATTTATAGCTCAAGAACATATACAGTATGTCAGAACATTTACTCAACATTCAGCAAAAACTCTCCCATGAGCAACACACATAGAGTTCTTTCATTGGCAAGAACAAAAGGAAACCATATAACTTCATTTATTCTCATTCTTTTTATCTTCCACATACAGTATGTCAGCACAGTAGTAGAAACTGAATATAGGTTTTTAGTTTGGTTGTCAGTATTATTCAAATCAGTTGAATGACAGTTCAAAAAATGCTACAGTAACACATCTAGATAGTTTAACCATCTGCAGTTTGAATTAAGAATGTAATACTGTCCTATATAAGCACTGGATAAATTTCAGTTTTCAACTGCACCAGTATTTTTTAGCTTGTTTCTGCAATTTGCTTTCATTTTCAATTTCTGATATAACGAAGTTATTTTAGGAACATTCCAAACATAAGTGAAAGGCTACATTTGTAACATTTGAACCAAGTGTAGTGTTTGTGGGTCAGAAAGATGACCTTTGACTTGAAACATTTAAGGAGGAGACAAACTGTTTTGTTTTAATGAAAAAATATAATGTAAATACTGTTATGTTGCTCCAAAATGGAAAACACAGAGCAGGAAAATGGTAGACAGACCCCCACATAAATCCCAGGAAAGGTCAAGTCAGAGTCTATACTAGACCAGGCACTCTCCTTTAGAACACAAATAATGGAAGTACATAATTCCTTAATATATAGCAATTCCCTATAAACTGAGTGACTCACGATGTATCTAATTCCCTCATTGTCATGATAGGTTTGTCAATTGTTTTTTTAAGCAAGAGCTATGAATATGCAAACATCTGCAAGAAGACTGTCTATTTCGCTATTTGATTATCTGGAGTAAAAAATCTGAATTAGCCAACCAGAAAGATGGTATCTCATGATTTAACCAGTGCAGACAAAATCTGTAGTTTATGTAAGGAAATTAAGAAGAAAATACTTGTTCAAATACTAAAAGAAAATTGTTTAAAAGAAAAAGGAAAAAGGAAAAGAGCTCTGCAGAAACAGCTTGTTATCTGCATACTTAGGAATAACATTACACCATTCCCTTTTGCTTTCACCATTCCATCTAATTACAGCTCTTGTTCCCACAGTAACTGACTTTCTTCATTGTCATATTGTAATCTTTCTCAACTCAACTTATTTTTTAATACAACATGAAAATGGGAAAATGGGCTCAATTTGTAGTTATAGATTACTTGTTCTGTGTGAGAAAAAATATAAGAAAAGAGAAAAACAGGAAAAAAAAACAACAGAAGAGGGAAATAAAGAACTCCAAAGTATTCAGAATTTTTTATTTCAAATTTCTATAAGCTATTCTGCATTTTTTGAAACATTGGACAGAGTCCAAATGTAGTAAAGAAGGCCTATGGGTAGCCATTATAATAAAGACAAAATTTAAATCCTTAGTAGGGATTATGTATGAAAATTTAGGCCTGATGAAGTGAATTACCTTTCAGAACTTTAATTGCTTTTTTCTTTCTTTTTTCTTTTAATTTAAAATTTAGAATCTCCACATCTCTCATTACCTTGGAAAGTAGCAATTCCGTCCAATTCCAGAGGAAACTAGAGTTAATCTCTCTCTAAATTAAATTTCTGCTTATGAAAAGAAGATTAGCCAGACAATACATATTTAGATATTTTAGACATTAAAAGCTGATTTACCTTGTCACCTTCAGAGAAAGTTATTCCATCGATGGCCCTTTTCCAAGTAATCTCTGGGATAGGTTCTCCTTCTGCTTCACAGATGAGGGTGGCTTTCCCATTCTCAAATGTGGTTTCATTTTTAAGTTGTATTATTTGAGGCTGTACTGTTAAAAATACAAATTACGTTACTCATCCTGCACAAAGAATGTCATGTCAAAATCTATCTTTGAAACCAAGTTTGTTTTTTTTTTAAAGCACATTCATGTTTGTTCACTTAGGATTAACTAAAGGTTTAATGTTACCATCTATAAAATCAATCAACTTTTCTGACTTCAAGTTGTGCAACAACCATTTCTGTATAGACTCCTGGCTCAGCATGGCTGACACCCTCAGGGCTGCCTGCTCTGTTGCTGGGTAGTGTTAAATGGGTCCTGACTGATGAGGCCCCTGCCCTGGTGGCTTTGTTCATGTGCTTTGCTCCTGGCTTGCTGTCCCTTAGGGACCAGCTATCCCTTGCTGCTCTCTGGCACTTCAGGAATGAAGCAAAGATTCAATGTTTCCATGACCCTGCTCCACCTGGGCAGGAATACCTCCATGCACCAGTGCAGGCCTGGGGCCAGCTGGCTGGCAAGCAGCTCTGCAGAGAAAACCCAGAGGGTCCTGGTGAACAAGAAGTTGACCATGAGCCAGCAACGTGCCCTTGAGTAGCGAAGTCTCTGGGGGATCCTAGCCATGTGTAAATACCTGATAGAGGTGAGTAGAGACAAAGCCAGAATCTTCTCCATGGTGCCCAGTGACAGGACAAGAGGCAATGGACACAAATTGAAACACAAGAAATTCCATTTAAGAGGAGGAAAAACTGAGAGGGTGACTAAACACCAGAATAAGCTGCCCAGGAGACTGTGGAGTATCCATACTTGAAGATATTAAAAACCTGACAAGACATGGTCCTGAGACACCTGCTCTGAGCAGGGGGTTGGTCTACATGGTCTTCAGAGGTGCCTTCCTGCCTCAGGCATTCTTTGATTTTATGACAATTTGTGTTTGTCTTCAAATACAAATTATTTGGAAAAAATGCAGAACTATTAATACTCTTGGCCTTTGATCTTTAGAAATATGTGCTTTACACAAATTACTGAATTTAACAAAATCTCCTCATAACAAACATATTGTACTGGCATTTAACACTATTAAGAACTGACGAGTCCTCTGATACAAAGCTATTCATCCTTACTTACCAAGTAAATAGGTGGTAAAATACAATTTAAAAATTCCAGATATTGTTTGCATTCTTCAAATCATTCCACTTTAGAGCCACAAGTACACAGCTACTACAGCTCTCAACCTATACTGTAACCTGTCAGGTTATTTACATATGCAATATAATTTCTGGTTACACATAAACACTTTTATTTAGAGGACTTATCTGTACAATATCATACAAGAACGCTGTTGTAGAACTATGCATAGAATGTTAGTCTCTTCCATTGCATTCAAGTATCTTCATAAAAAAATGTTTTGGCCCTGTATACTCACTCATATCTACCCATTAATAAGTTTCTCTGAACCTATCCACTTTACACATTGAATGAGACACTCATCCCACCAGAAAACCTAGCATGTAATCATGTAATAGGAATATGATTTGGTATGTTTACACCCACAACCAGTGAATTAAGTTTACATGAGTAAATTTAATTTTGGTAGCTCTTAATATTGGCTTTGCAAACATTAAGGACGTTTCTTGAAAAGAATATATTTTCTATGTACTTTTCCTAAGTTTTGCTTTTGAGGAAGCACAATTACAGTATATTCCATGAAGCAGAAAATAAACAGAGAGGTAACCTATCTTCTAATGGGGTTACAAAAGTATATGCTATGCAGAAAAGTACTATTGGCTTATGTTAGCGGATCAAAAGGGGAAAGAGAATCATTGAGGTTGGAAGAGACTCCAGGAGGTCATTTTGACCAACCTCCTCATCAACACAGGGTCAGCAGACCCTGTTCAGACCAGATTGCTCAGGGATGTGTTGAGCACTACCTTGAAATACGCCAAGAACAGAGACTGCACAGCCTTTCTCACCAGCCTGTTGCAGTGCCTGACTGCCTCATGGTGAAGAATGTTTTCCTTATGTCTACTCTCCTTTTTCATTTTACGACCACTATTCCATTTATGACCATTGTCTCACAGATACAGCATTCACCAGTACCAAGAAAAATAATAAAACCAGGTTCAAACTTGATATATCCAGACACAACACCTACCTCCCTTTTATCCATTTCCACCACACCATTCTTGGTCTCATTTCTCATTCCTTATCTCCATACTCCTTCTGTTGCTTGTCTACTGTCTGTTCACCCTTGACTATTACAAATAATCTATTGTGTGTTTACTGCATAGAGATGAAAACAGGTCATATTTTACCTAACAAAGCACTGCACTAATATCCTGCTTCATTAAGATATAATCTACAGTGAGTAACATTGTGTGCAGAAAGAAAATACCCTGAGTGATCAGGGGCTCTTGAAATGTCAACTGGATCCAGCTTTATTGGATGCAGCAGACGGTAGTAAGCAAAAGCATTACAACAGGACATCAATTTGGCTGAGAAAAGCTGAAACTCTCCTCAATAGTATAACAAAGGATATAATTTGAAAGAACTACAAAAAAAAATTTGAGATAAAGCTAACCATGTTAAACTTCAAAATAACTTCAGTTATTACTCTCACTTTCAGAATCATCCAAATGCCTATGAAATATTCTACCTTGGGTAATTCAGCCACTCTATTTCTATAGCCACGTCTCCTGGCTACAATATAATCTGTTCTTTCCTTTCTTTCCTTTCATATAATATCATCCCCAGAAACAAGGAAAGAGCTGTGGCATATATATCATTCATTAAAAAAAAAAAAGCATCGTACATACTATTTAATGTCAGAAATTTGCAAAATTTGGAATTACATTATTTCCATCAGAACAAGAGGATTTCCCCATCTGGACATGACAGTCAGTATGATCGTCTCAAGATGATGCATGTTGTAAAACATATAACTAATACTCTTTAATTTTTAATCTTAGACTTATATTCTATATTTCTTTAAGGCTGTCTTCAAATGGATCACAAGACAAAAAGTTTTAGCTTGACATTTTAGACATGAGCAGCTGACATTTAAAGGAATAAGCACTGATTAATCATCAAATATATCTAGCTGACAGTTATTACTAGGAAGAAGAAGAGAGCTCAAATGTGGGATATTATTTAATTGCTTCATTTTCGTAGGTCACAAGTCATAACCTGCTATTGACTAGAAGTTTTTATACTGTTAACTAATTTTTATGACATTTTGGATATTGGAATATATTAAAATACTTCTTTGTACACGTATATAACAATATTTATTTGAGAATGCCAAGAGTAGTATTCACAGAAATACTGAAACAGGTTCACCCCACTGCTCCCCAGTTCCTTAATTGTTCTTTCTAAATTGACAAGGTCATTCGCAAACTGAATTGGCATTTGCTTGCTGTACTCTAGCAAATATGAAACAAATGAAAATATAGCATCTTATAATGTCAATCCAGGTCTTTGCTGGTTTCTTCAGTCAAAAATATTGAAATATTTGTATTATAATGTACTTAAAAAATTGTAAACTGAATGACCTGACTGAAATCAAAGAAGGCTTGAATATAGAAAGGAGTTATGCTTAAGTGTCATTATTTTATTTGGAAGGAAAAGGAACTGCTCATTACTAGACATGCATTTTTAAAATATTAACAGAGTGATGCTGCCAAACAAAAAAATAACATTTACTGGTTGGAAAGTTTGCTCTTTGAGCAGAGAAGGTTGATGTTAAGTTCTCTAACACTTCCTCAATAAACAAGTTTGTTTCAGATTCCTTCCTTGGTGTCTTCTGGATTTGTCTGAGACAAGGGCAATACCTTTTTAACAGAAAATTTAAGCTCATGGCTATGTACCTTACAGCCCCCTCAAAAAGCTTAAGAAGAACTTGGATAGCAATCTGAGGTTCTAGATTAGTTATTGGTTGCTTACAACTGATTTCTTGAAAAAGGTACACAGTTTATTGAAATCATAGAGTTCTGCTCCTATCTTTGACAAAAGAGATTCATCAGGCTTGGGCAGCAGCACATATATAAAGCTTGAGATAGTCCTGATTATATCTAATGAAAAGAGCTGCTTTAAACAGCTTGTTAGTAATACAAACATGGATTTACTGGTGAGAGGCTTAGTATATGTCTGTATCGCCGCCTGATAGGATCTCTTGATTAATATGACACAAGGAATCATACTCTTATACTATCTTCCTGTACAGCCACACTTGTATCAGGTAGCAAAACTGCAACCCATCATCCTGGAAACTGCTGGTACAATTGGAATTTAGTAAAAAAGCTAGAGTCCAACAAGGGAATACCTAAGAAACAGATTCCTGAAACTTGATGCCCGACATAATAAGGATTTGCACACACACCAGTATGAAACATTGACTTGACTTAGTGCATGATAAACCTGAGTCTTTGTACATGTTAAAATGGTATTACTACTTCACACTCAAAGGGATTTAAGACTTGTCTTCTGAGAGAACTGGCATCACTGCCTTTACAGATTGCATCATTTTATTTTAAAAATTACAGGTGTTCCAAACAGGTAAGCAGGTAAGAGGGAGGAAGAAAGAATAGAGAAAATGTATGAACTTTTGACACTACATCTTTAATTGATGAATTGCACATTGTGAAGCTGCAGTTGGTATACTTCATATTATCTGGGATGAGCAGGCACAGATAGTTCCATACACAGATCCATGGGATTCCCTATCTAGGTACATCAGTGAATTTAAATAAAGAGTTTCCATATATCTATTGAACAGTATCTTAGGAAGGAAAAAAAACCCAAAAACCAAAACCAAAAACCAAACCAAAACACATATTAATCTACTTATTAAGCTCAAAGGAAAATTAACTAGGTGTGCTCCAGGCACTATAAATGTAAAAGGAATGCAGTCATTAAGCCGAAAACAATGCAAAAAATTTAGGCAACTTCTCACCCCAATCTCATTATAGACTCACTGCAGCGTCTTTGGTTCAAAGATGCATGGCTTTTGAGGGCCTAGATTAACCTAAATTTTTTTAATTTTAACAGTTAGAACACATCTAAGGGGGATAAGACAGGAGAGGTCTGTTACATTTCCTCCCACCTGCCTGATGACAGATAAAAAATGAATAATAGCATATACTTTTCTCATTAATCAATAAAAGTTACATTGAACACATCCGCAAAAACCTTCTTGCTATACAAGATTCAGATTATTCTAAAAAGACATCTAGAAACTAAAAATGGTATGTGCTTAAACTACACAATAATTATAAAGGGCCTTTTGTAATGCTTCGTGAGATATTTTTCTCTCATTTGACTTTCATGAAAACAATTGTCATAAACTACTGAAATGCCAAATAAATATTTTTTTATAAGCTCAGACTACTCTCTCATTGATTATGTAGGTAAAACACCTATACCCTAGAGAACTTCAAATTAATATATGCTATAGCTCTTTCCTATTTTTTTACCAATTCTGATTAAAGACAAAATATTTTTTTTTTCTTTCTAGAAATAGAAAATGCTAGACATGGCATATGTACAGAATAGACAAAACCTGCTGAAAACCTCAATTGTTTATGCATCATGGAATGGCAGAACTAAGCATTTGAGTGATTAAGGAGTGGAAATGAGCAAGTGAAGAACAAACAAAATGAAGATATAAAAACTGTCCTGAGAATATAAGCCCTAGTCTTATAAAGCATGAATACATCTTTAATTAAAGCTAATTTTGTTTCATTTAGCCTGATTAGATTTTTTTTATTATAAGGTAAATGAACACTACTGCTATCACTCTGGAGAAGCAATGATGAAGAAATACATTTTTAGTTCTTAGAAAGTAAGATGATGTAGGAAGATTTTAAGAGATTGAATTTTCTTGACTGCTCTTAAATCAATTGCTTATTATTATGTTGTTTCAGCAATTTTTGTTGGGGTGCTCATAGCTGTAAAAATGTGGTATTTCATAATTCACAATGCTTATTCACATGTATTGAAACACATGTATATAAATATATATCTAATTACATCACAAAACAAATCAAAGAAAACAATGAAACTGAATAGTATGGGTGAAAGAGATATAAAAAGTTAGCTACCAAGCAGAGACAAATACTGAAAATATTTTTAAAGAATTCAAGGAAGAACACCTATGGTTTCAAGCCATTCAGAAAGACTAAACATAAATGAATTTGTATCAAAAATCTTAGCCAAGTCCTAAGCATTAATATAGATGAGATCTTTTAGGTAGTAATAGATAATGATACAGAGAGAACTATAGCAGATAACAGGATGACAGATAGAGATTACCAAATCATGATCAGTAAGAAATCCTCTGAGGGAAACAGGGCTTTCTTTACTCTTCTAAGTCTTATTCAGTAGAACAGATAAAAAGCAGTAATAAAAATGAAGACTTGGGAAAAGCAGGGTGTGTGCATATAGTTTTCTATACATGTGTTAGTGTTCCAGAAAAACTGTCACAGTAAGCATTTGATATGAGGACAAAATAGCTTTTTTTAACACTGATACTGGAAACAAACAAACAAAAAAGAACAAAAAAATCTAGGTTACACATGGAAACTAAACACATGCAGGTGCTAGATGGCACTAAGATGGGCATGTCCATTCAAAAGTGCAGAGTATTAGAAATTCTAAATGCTGAATGCTATAATGTTACTGTTATTTTTATTGCATTATGGTTACATTACTATTATTACAAGTTTCAACCCTGGCAGAGCACTGTTGCAGTAGAAACAATATTCGATGCCCCAAGGAGTTTGCATTGAAAATTAAAATTAAAGATAGCAGGTAGGTGAGACAAGCAAGCTAATGGAGCGGGAAAGAATAATGTAATTTAATAGGTCATTTTAACACAAACTGGCTGTTTGTGTACTATTTAGCTACAATAATCAGCCATCTGCCTTGCCATTTTCAGACTGCAGTTTATTGAATACATTTAAGGGGAAGAAAAGTATACTAAGTTGTTGGCTGTACGTATGACTGGGAGTTTAACCTGTGGTGAAAGAGACAAAAGAAAAAGTAAAGATCTTTGCAGGAGAAAATACAACCACCCTGCTCCACATTTTCAGACTGAAAGAAGAGGTGAACTTTGTAAAGGCAATACTAGACTAAAATCACCCTAGCTTTAGAGATTACAAATAAGGTAAGAGGCTTAATTTATGCTACTGTTCCCTAAGGTCAAACTAACAGTACACAGATTATAATCTAATTTAAATAAATACAGGAGTAAAGCACAGAGGAAAAATAACTCTAAGTATACATACTCAGTGATGTGCTCTAAATTAGCTATAACCACTCAGGAAAGAGACCTGGGAGACACTGCAGACGGTTCTGTGGAAACACCAGTTCAGTACTCGGGGAGAGCCAGCGAGGCAAACAGAACGCGAGAGAAGGCGCCGAGATGAAAGCAGCAGCAGCACGGTGCTGCTGCATAGCCAGGTTCCCCCCACAACATGAATCCCACGTGCCGGTCTTGCCTTGCCGTTTCACAGACAGGGGATTGGAATCGGAAAGGTACAGGAATGCATGGTTCAGAGATTCACAATGGTTTCCACAGAAGGAGAAACTAAATAGAATGAAAACTCACGGCTTAGAAAACAAATGAACTAGGTGAGACAGAAAACCACATTTGATGTAAAAAACATACCGAATTATTCTTCACTTTTTATATTAAAATGAGAATTATGAGCCAAAGAAATGAGCAGGCTCCAAACTTGAACATAAGAAATAATTTTTTTTGTGCAAGAAGGAAATAATTTAAGGAATTTGGGAGTTTAGGATGTCGTGGAAACAAAAAGGATGTGTAGGTTCAAAATGGATTAAACAAACTTATGTTATCTATTAAATCATTTTGATTTAGCTTTCTGGGGAGTCCCCAGAACAGCGGTTGTTAAAAGATAGAAGAATGTGTACAGGAAATGCTCACTCTCAGT